TCAGTTGCGTAAAATTCTTCTGATGTTCTTGGAACTGTTTTTCAAACTTTAAATTATTTTATTCACGTTATTAATAATTAGTAATTTCTCGTATGGCAGCTTCTATTCACAATCCATTCAATCTTCGTTACATTTTTTGTTTTCTAATTTTCATTAGCTTTGTCCATTAAATTGAGTGATTTTAATATTAACCCTTTGCACTCGAGAGGTGACTCTCAGTCACCATTTAATCAGATTCTAAAGATCGACGTTAATTAATATATCAAATTTAAAATTACCTAACGAAGTGTGGAATGTCGAAGAAAAATAACTCTATGTCTTAATTTGCATATGATTTCTCATTTACCATTTTAAAAATATCGTCGACTCTATGACAGAAAGTCTTCGAATTACTATTTTTCTGTAACGAAAAAGTCGTCGAGTGCAAAGGGTTAAATTTCACAAGAGGTTTAATAACTTTACTATTTTGCTTTTGGGTATTTATTTGGCAAATCTTGATTACGTTTTCCTTCAGTGTAACATTTTTTTATGTTTCCTACAATGCACTTAGGCACTAATACCTATTTCTGTTGTTTTTACATTTCTTATATTATTAAAACTTTCTGTATCAAAGTTATAAGCTGAATCTCCCTACACAAAATTACTCAAGCTTGTATCTGTTAAATTATAATATATCATATTAATTCTGTATTGAATTGGACTAACGCACTATACACTTCTATTTTACCAAGCATTTAGTCATTTAAGGGAGCCCTTTCTCGTAATCCGGCTTAAAAAAATCAATTTTCTTTTTAAATTTTCTCAAAGTATATGCTTTCGAAAATATCTACGTAAAAGGATTTGTTTGAATTCGTAAAATTAGCAAAGTTATAGATGTTTAAAGTGCGGTGTACAGCCATTGTACAAACAAGTAACAAAAACTTCAAACGCGTTTTTCTCGAAACCATATTTTTTGAACTGGCTGACAGGATATCTCTCGTTTTAGTTGACAGATTGACTCAAAATTTGGAGGAGATCTTCACCAGATGTACCTTTATCGCGTGAACCACGGATTTCAAAATCTGACTTTTTTTTCTATTTCTTTTTTACCATCTAAAAGACAACAAGCACAAGGAAGATCGATATTTAAATTTAAAAATGCTACTATTTGTTTAATTTTCGATATTCTGCTGTTTTGGTGGTTCATGCTATAGCCGTATTTATACTAATTAAGATGATTTTTAGTTTTTTCGTTTCAGATAATTAGATGGTCCGGAATTATGTCAGCTATTCGAGCCCGTTTTTAAAAACATGATTTACCTAAGGCTATATAATTTCCACAGTTTTTAATAATTTCGATAAGAAAGAATTGGAAATATTATTTAAGTATAAATAAATCTTAGTGCAAAAGTTAATATATAATAATCAAAATAATGAGAGAGACTTAAGCTTCAGAAATACAAGAAATGCAAATTTATCTTAAATAAGAATGAAGATGTGTTGTTACATGTATATATGATATTTTTAATAAGTCAGTATTAAACAAAGAGGATTTTTATTTTTTTGTACATGGATTCAAATCATAGTAGATGATACACTCTTCCTCTTTCTATCTTGCCTTTTTCAAAAGAACCATGAAATCTGTATCTTTGATAATAATATGTATGATAGGTTGCATGTATTTCCTACAATATACTTGAATATATACAACAAAATTATTTTATATTGCCACATTCAATAGAAGATTCTGTATATCTTATATGTATTTAAAAAACTATTATAGATTATAGATCCTGGATCTTAAATGAAAATATCTTTCTCAGTACAATATTAACTTAAAAATCGCTTTTATTAAAATATTTTATAAAATTTATTTTTAATTAAAACATATTTTATTGGAGAATGATATTTTATTATAAAATATAAAATAGATATAGATGACATAGAAAAGCTTTTGGGAAAAATAATTTACACACTAACACTTTTGATTTACACTGCTAAAATTTGATAAATACAAAAATAAAAACTAGTCATATTGATTTTAATAATTGCCAAAAGGTAATAACAAAAGAATTTCAATTTATAAAAAATTATACAAATAAACTCATAAAGTTTCTGAAAAATATATTTTTAGACAAAAGTTTAATGTGTTTAAAACTTTGAATTTTTTTTTTTTTTGTTACGATAAGAAAATGCAATATTTTAGATAAATATTCATTTGAAAAACAAGTGAACCTATTCTTAATACATCAGTAAACTATTAAAAGCATCAGTAAACTATTAAAATATGTAATTACATGAATATTTTTTCCCAAGTATTACAATAGTGTTACATTTTTCCATTTTGTTACAATTATCATATCGATCTTATATTTCATAAAAAATTGTTGGTTTGCAATAAAATATTCCATCCTAAAATCTAAATTGTTAAAAGGACATAATATGATAGGAAAAGTGTACTAATCATGTACATGCCCATATACTACCCATATATTTCTCACAGACTTATGTATTTCCTATCCTAAATTATAAAATTAATTTCATTTTGAAAAAAGATATTTGTTAATATTCCTTTCAATGTGTTCCTTTTCCCAATTTATATAAATTTCATTTTATTAGAATTATCATAAGTCCATTACTCATAAAAGATATTCCTTTACCTTTAATTACTAATAATTACTACTACTAGTTCTCCATGCACATATTGAAAAACCAATATAAATTGAATTTGAAATAACATACATAAATCTGATGGAAAATATATGATAAAAGCAAAACGAAAGATAATATTGTAAATAATATTAAATAATTTCAAAAAATATTGCGCATCATTAATCACTTTATATCTAATTATATTTATGTAAACAATGTATATATTAATATATTGCTTGTATACTTTTCCAAACATATTTTTTAATTTTCTGTATTATCACCCTTTGTTTTATCTCATTAAACTACAATCTTAAAATAAATCATTAAACTGAAAATACAACTGCTTTTTGAATATAAACCTCATTGGATTTGATAAAAAATTGTTATAATTATTGCTAGCATTTATAGTACATAATTCCAAATTATACTTTATATTATAATATATACATATAAATGATTAATATTTTGTCACTTTCAATTTTTGATATCTTAATAAAATTTAGTAATATTTAATGACATATTTCATACTGTTATCATGTGGTAATATTAAATTTAATAATTATACGTACAAATAGTAACTAAGTATATTTTATCATAATAAAAATACCAAAAACCCTAAATAATTAATGTACTTACTCATCTCTGAAGTGTTAAGTAAAATTAAAAAGTATTAAAAAAGTATTTATTTCTTGATTAAGTTTTTAATTGCAAACAATAAAAAAATATATAAAATATAACAAAAAGTAAAATTTATAGAATCATACACACATATGTGCAGATCATATTACTCTGACTATCACTGGTTGAACACATAAGAAATTAAACATATGTATTATTAAGTATAAAATACTTCCTTATGAAATATATGTAATATACATCATTAATAATAACCAATTTGTTCCAATAAATTTGCATTCTACTCCCAAACTGTTAACACTTTTAATACCAACTATTTTTTACAATAAAGAACATCTTGAACTAAATTTTCTTTATTTTTAATATATGTCATATTAGTCATATATTAAATTATTCCAACGTTATATACAACAATTTGAAAAAATGTTCAATAATAACATTGATGTTATATATATACAGGTTGTTAAGAAAAGAAAGTTCAAGATTTTAAGGGCTTATACTCATTGAGTAGAGTAAAATATTTTTAATTAACATAAGTCCTAAAGTCAACCCTTTTGACAAAAAATTGACTTTATTATTAATGAATACTCAATACTATGAGTAAGCATTTTTGTAAAGCATTAGACATAAATAGATTTTTTTTTCTAAAGGTACTTGAAAACCGTACTTTATTCATTATTCATAAATAATGTAGAAAAATTACGAGAATAAACAAAAATTACATGTCATATAGTACAAGATTCGAAAAAGATGATTAAAGATGTACAACAATTAATGATTTGCAAATGTATTTTGCATTGTAACAAAAGAAAGACAAAAAATTTACTATAATTATAGTAAAAAAAATTTATACTACATTTATATACTAAACATAATCTTTACTGATATTGATATTAATCTTTTATTCATAATCTTAAATGTATCTTTGAATTGTTTCCTACATTTACATTACGAAATTCACTCATTGTATCAAATATTCGTAAATAATAAAAGTCAATATTCTGTTGAAAAAATTGACTTTAAGGCATATGTTAATTAAACATTTTTTATTCAAAGGAAAATTTTATATCCCATTAAAATCTTCAACCCCTTTTTTTAAACACCCTGTGTTTAATACCAGCGCTTTCTAAAAATTGATGCATTAACTCATAATCGTAAAAGGGTTAACAAGCGTGAGTAAGAATATTTCATGCAAATTTGAATCATCATAACTATTATTTTTGGTTAGATATGATCAACAAAATTATTCACTGCAACATAAAAACTTTATTATAGAAAATATAAAAACAAATAAAAAAATATTTAAACATTTCAATTTAACACATTTATATCTAAAACATTTTGAAGAAATTAATTTATAGTAGTATTAATTTATTCTAGTTGTTTCATTAATTTGTATAATTAATTTCAATTGTCAGTAACATTAAATATTCTATTTTTATACAATTAGTTTTAAAAATTTTATCATAAAATATAATATTTTGTCACAAGACAATAAATCGTATTCAATATATTAAATATACTAACGAGATAAATCAAAGTAAAGATAATAAAGTTAAAATTAAACAGTAAATCTATAAAATTACAATTATAATGAGACATTCCATGCAAAAATGATTTTATATATTTCAGAAAAAAACATAAATAAAAAATGTAATTCCATAATATATAAAAGATTATCCATTCCTCTTTGCAAGAAAAAATAAAAATTGTAAGTATTTGAAAATTCATACCCAGAACGTGGACTGCAGTAAAGCAAAGGAGTAGTAAAAACTTCGACATCATTGGAAGTTCCGAATTGATAAAAATAAGCCAAATTCACTGAAAATTCAAACGTTTATAACTATTGATAAACTTAAACTCCGATATAAATTGACGAAAAATATGTGAAAATACACGGCGTATGACGTGCAACGTAAATGTTCGATACACTAGGTAGTCCCTTGAAAATGTTGTTCACAAACACATATTGAGTGAACTCAAATACATAGACATATTAAGGATAGTTTACATTATTTCAAAATAAAGTACGTTCTTTTATAAAACATTAAATAAACTAAAAAATTATATAATCCTATTTATTTAATAGTTAATTAGAAACAATATTCTTCATATATTTTTAATAAAATATAATAAATTTATATACATATTTGATAAAGGAATACGTTATAATTTATTTAAAACATGATTCTAATATTTTTTAAATTTAATAATAGATTCAGTACTTTAATTTTCTTGCAAATATATTAAATTTTTATATAATTTAAGAAGCTAGTTGTTTATAATATGTATAATGTAATAAAATTTAATTAAATTAAAATCATGTTTTTATTTATAATAGGAATTACTTAGATTTATAACGCAGTAAGATTTAATACAATAATATAATAATAATACAATGTAATATAATAAAATGCATTACAAAAAGAATTCAATCCTAGACAGAAAATTATTATTTGTATTTTATAAAACAATTGTATTGTTTAATTAATGATTAATAATAAATTAAATACTGAAACAATTTTTAATGAATAATTTTTGAGTGTATTGTTTAAATTAATTGTACAATATACTATATTGTATAATATTGTTGTTTTATATATTGTATAATATATATTGTTGCTATAATAATTCTATATTTTAATATACTATAAACTAGCTAGTAAAGATGTATGTATATATATCACATGTACAATGAAACACTACACGAAAAGTAAAAATGATTCAAGTTTTTATTTTTAATGTATGCTTGTTACGTAATAAAAATTGACAATCGATACAAATGATATAACCAAATCCTATTATTGACATTCTGATTGACATTAATTTTGTTATGTTCAAAATTTATACCAAAAAATAAAAAATTTTACAATAAATATCTACAATGTAAATTAGAATATATAACATTCGTAATGTGTTTTTTCAAATTAATATAGTGTCATGAAAAGAAGAAAGAAATAAGATTATAAGAAAAAATATAATATTAAATAAATAATGGAAGACATTTTATACTTAAATAATATTAATAGGTTCAATACTTAATAGGTATAGGTACAAAAAATCCTAAGATAATAATATTCAAATAATAGTTTCATAAATATTAGGAAATATGAAAAATTGTACTAAGTATACGTTATCAATATATTATTTTAATAAATACGACGAAACCAACAAATTTCAATTTAACCTTAATTTCGTTAAGAAAGTATAGAAATAATTGATATATTTAGTGGAACCACAGTTTATTGTATTTTAAAGTAGGTAATTCTACATTTATTAAGTTTTACTATAATATTATATCTATGTCACTTTATACAGAATTGTATCTGTTGCTTAATTTATTGCACAAAATTGCATTGTTTAATATTAAAATGACTAGTACAATTTCAACTAAAAATTACATGTATTGTTTAAAATCTAGTCTTAAAACAAAGAATATTTCATTTAAATCACAATATTGATTTATAAATTTCATTAGATAAAATTATTTTATTTATAAATAAGAAAAATAACTAAAACTAATTAATATTCAACATATAGAAGATTGTAAAAATTTGAAAAATAATTATGTAAAACAGAAATGTGTAAAAATATTTATAATTTATATAAAATACAATGAATATTATTAAGAATTTGTGTTTAGTTAAAAATATTAAATTAAATATCTTTTAGTAGAGTTATTTGACTATAAATGTGTTGATCTTTATAAACAAAATTAAGAATACTAAATATTTTGTAAAAATGGATAATAAATTGTATAATTAAATAATGAGCAAAAACTTGAAAAAAGCTCAAGTATATATCCATGACATCTGAATTAAAGTCATAATAAAATTAAGCATAATAAAGCATATATGATTTTAAAATAATATGTGTGATATGTGTGATATAAATTTGTACAATGAATTTACTTTTTATTCTCAGGATTTATATTTGATATAGAATAAAAATAAATAAAATTTTAATATAAAATTAAATTGAAAATGAAATAAAATTTTATGAAAATGAATAAAAATATTTAATTATGTAAAAAACTAAAACTTTATTAAAAATTATAAAGAATACTAAAAAAAGAACAAATATTGTAAGTATAGTATTCGCGCTATAATGTGCAAAATATTTGTAGTTAATTATGTAATATAATAGTTACTAGTTAATAGCTAGCTCCAGATTTAAAGCTTATAAATTTTAATTTGATAAAGATATAAAAAGAAAAATACCATAAAAGTTAAGTAATAAAGGTAGTATTTAATTATATATTGAAAAAATCATGCACTGATTATTTATTTTCATAATATACAGATTAAAATATAGTAATTAGACTTTAGTTTCTAAAATGAAAAAATAGTTGGTATATGACAAATATAATATTTAATTGTTATTAAAAATATAGAGGTTATTACTATACTCTAATAGTAAGTTTGTTTTAATAGCATGGTTTTGAAATGGCAATTTTTAATATAATGAATACATATTTATTATAAAGTTCAGATTCTTGAAATTTAGATTCTTGAAGTTTAGATTCTTCTTTGATTCTTTTAAATACATGGTTAAATTTCTTTAATATCTATTCTATTAAAAGAAAGAGATATTATGTTGTTGCTTATACTTTTTATTTTTGTTACTACGTGTCCAAATTCTATAGGAATATAAAATTACTTAGTATTATACTTGACTAAACTTCAAGTTTAAAGTACGCATATTTATGAGTATTTTCTTTTTGAATTTTCATGTGAAGAACATAGGAAATAAATTTTAGTGATTAGATATCATTAGTGAGAGTACAATGGAACTTTTTATAATAGGACAATTTAGAATCAAATTCTGATTGATTTTTATAAATAAAGAAATATTAATTATTTATGATTTCTTTTGAAATTTTATTTATTCCTTACATTTAATTATTAGACATATTACGTATATTTACATTAAACACGAATAGTCAAAGTAAAAATGAATAAATCATTAGACAAAAGTAGATTCTAGAGTCATAATTCATAAGAAACTAGGAACCTATAGTCCTTTGTCAAGTTTATCTTTAGTGCCAGTTTTTGTTGAATACACTATACTTTATTTATATATTGGGTTGCAAAACATATAATTTTTATATTTATTAGGAAACGTGAATAAAAATTCATTTGATACCTTCACAAAAAATTACGCATTCAACTGAATGCTAATATAAAGAAATAATGTTTGGAACCGTAAACGATAATATCTCGAAAATAAAAATGTGTGACATGCGGTATTTTTTCTTACAACTATAAATATATAGTTGAATGATTTCTCACGTTACATCTTTGTCACTTGAATTGTATAAATTTTTAATCAAAATAACTTTTAATTAACAATTAATAACTTTTTAATCAACATTAAATTCTATATTAACATTAAATTTTGTATTAATAAATAAAAAGTTACAAAGTTAAATTAATTTCTTTTTATTCCAAGTATATTCACAATTCAAATATTTAAAAAAATATCATTATAACCTAATGCATCTCGGACATTACAGCGAGTTCATCTGCAAAACCAAATTCTACTAGCGATACCTTAATTTGTATTACATTCTACTAGCTTACTTCTGCGCATCAGACTGATATATGTATGTATATTAGTCTTAAATAAATTCTTCAACTTCCTAACAGCTTCCCAATTATGCTTTCTGATCTCTATATAGTTATCAATTTCAATTGCACATTGAATATATTTATAATTTCTTTTCTTAATTTACGAAACTTTAATCTTCTATAATATATATATAATAATCATAACGGCTCCTTAACTTGATATTTAGTTTGTTTGCATATCTAATTAATATAGTGATAACTGCATTCTTTTGGAAAAACCCTTATATAATTTAATACTAATAGATTAATCAAACGCGTAAATTTAATACATTTTCGAAATTCAATATAACGAATACTTTAAAATGCGAAAAATTATAAGATATTCAGAAGAATTACAAGAAATTAGAAGACACTTAATAAATTTAAAACTTCATATCAATTGATTTGTTATAAATATATCATACATTTAAAGTTGCAGTGAGACAATGAAGAAATTGACGTTATAAAAATTTAACATAAAAGGTTAATATTATTAAAATAGTGTTATATATTATATTAGTTATAATAGTATTTAATTATCATTGGTAATTATTTAGATAAGGGGAGGAGGCTGTTACTGATTTCGATGGTTTTTAAATATGTGTAGAAATCAACATTTGAATAACCTTTTCCTATGTATGTAACCGCCCTGAACCTCACTTTTCGAGATTTTTGAATATTGCCTATAATCACGTATCTGTGGCAACGTGTGTGTAAACATTGAATCGCCGATTGTTTATGGTTTCTATAAACACACCAAGGCGGCCTACAATGGACCTGTACAATAGGTGTATTTAAAAACTCAATTTGAGTAGACGGCCGTTTCACCAGCAGCTGGAATAAAAAATTCTAACCCCCTTTTAGTTAAACCTAATTATTTTACCTTATAACTAATTTAACGAATTAGATTTTAATTAGGTCTTTTTATTACGGCCGTCGTAAGGCGACCGGCCATACATTCATCTTTTGGTTCAATTTTCTTGATACATTATACATTATTTGTCGTTGATCACCGTGCCGTTGTTTATAAAAACAAGAGATAAGGGCGATTGCGGATTGATGCATACAAAGTCACCGACATTTACGTATAAACAAAATTCAGTGTAATAGCAACGATCTTTTTAAAGAAAAATCTCGGAAACTAAGACCGACGGTTATATATAGGAAAAAGTTCGTTGATTTGTTAATTTTTACAACCTATTTAAAAATCATCAAAATCATTGAGATCCCTCCTCCGATTTTCTAAATAATTACCTTAATATTCTCTCAAATTATAAAATCATTACGGTAAGTGTACTTATCCAATACAAAAAGGAAGAAGGGAGCATAATGTTGTTGTCAAAGCTAAATATTAAACACGAATTAAGGTTAGTCAGATCAAGACAATGGGGCATAAGTAAGACACAAGTTTCCATGCTTTTTTTAAAATGTTAATTTGTCAAGAATATGAATTTGTTTAAAAAAATAAACTCATAAATTTTACCACAGCTTTAATTATATATCGAAGAACAAAGGTAACGCTATCATTTCAGAGGATTACTCCTCGTTCAAAAAATATTGCGATTCGAATTAATGATGACTCACTACTAATGAATGATTGACAGTGTGAGACTAAAAAGACGAAGTTTTTATATTCCTTATTTTATTATCATAAAATTATTTTAGTCATTTATAAAATTATTTTTTTTGAAGAAAATACTTTCAGTTATAAATAAATTATATATGAAATTAATCAACATTCAGTTTAATAGTTATTGGAGTTGTAATAAACGACACAATTTATACGATATTCAATAGTTTGGTAAAATCAGAATTACCAAGCTCTAATAGATGTACACCAAAAGGTAGAATAGAATTACATTGGGTGCTGTATCTTGAATCATTTGTGGAAATTCACTGCATAGCCACTATCGCGCAACATAATAATATAAAGCAAATAAGAATATTTATAAAAATTAATTACATGAAGTAATTTTATATTTGTACCAAGGAAATCAAAATATAGTGCTTAGATACCAAAATGCAGATATAGACAATGAAAAGTAAACAGAAATTTTTTATAGAAATACAGTCATAAACCTCTATACCACTTATTTAAACAAGGTGAATTTAAGATTTCTTTTTATCTTCTTACAATTTAGATTTTGTTTGTAATTGAAAACACGATTCATAAGAAATAAATTTTAATTATACTTGAAATATTGTAAATGATAAAATTAGAAAACACATCGAAAATAATACAATAAAAAATAAAAATAATTACAAAGAACATTATGTACATGCAAGAATATGTTAGATTCCATTAATAACAAAAAATGTAGAATTTACGACTAAACGTTTATAAACTTTACAACGTTATAAATGTGAATCGATATGCACTAAGCTATTAGACTTAAAATTTATGTATGTCATGTATATTTAGCCTTGTAACACCGAAATGTAGTTACATATTATCTTTTTACTTTTATTAATAATATAACATGAATGTATTGTTTTCATTATTAATAAATTAAATATTTCGGTATTTGCAAAAAAATATATATTGTACCACACAAGAGACTTGTTTAATAAAAAAAATGTTTATTTTCTTGATTAAACAAATAAGGTTTCTATATTGTATATACATATGTTCAATTTTGTGCATAACTGTATTGTGAAACAGAAGAGCCTTATATTATCATATGAAATAAAAACAATAAATTCTTTTTTTCGAAGTATTATTTTCTATTATATGTTTATTAATACAATATATTTGTAATTACATTGTTTCCAAAACAAATAGGAACATTTGAGTATTAAATTTACAGTAAAAATTGAAAGTAAGTAATTTTTATTGAAAATTAAAACATTTAAAACTAGAAGAGAAATATAAATTTAATAGTTAAAGTAACAAATTATTTTAGTAGAGTATAATATTTTGTATATTATGTACAATTAACCTATCTTAAATTTAAAGTTTTATACAAAAGGGATATTAACAGGTTAAGGTAGTTGTATTCAATTGTCATTTAGGATAACGATACTGCTAATGTTCTATTGCAACTGTATAAAATTTGTTTTTTTATATATTAATTCATAATTATGTAATAATATAATCTTATATAACAAGACAAAAATTATGAATATTTAAACTTTTTGATAGAAGATAATTATAAAAATAATTTCTTTAGTTAATATTAATATTAGTAACTCGTATGAAAATATATAATGTTTAGATACATTTATGTTCTATTTTATGTAACTAAATAATAATATTTCATAGAATTGATACATTTTCTTTTTAAATGACAAAACAAATTTTAGGTTAGTTTTTATAAATTAAGATACATATTCTGTTTACATTTTTTGTTAGGTCTTGTTTATGCAAGAGTTTAAATATAAACTAAAGAAAGCACAAAAAAATATTGCAATTTAATTTTATTAAATCTATAATAAGTTTCAAATAATCATAATAATCATAACTTTCAAGAGAAAATTATAATTTTTTTTATACTATCTGACAGTGATTATCAAGAATACAGTAAAAAATACAGTAAACATAAAAAATTATATGAAATTCTGAAGTGCTAAAATGTTTCTTTAAACTTTCTATATTATATACCATTCAATTTATGTCTATAATTGTTTTGAGATGATATAATATAAAATTAATGGTATATAATAAAAAATAAAATTCAAATTTTTCTAAATTTATCATAGTATTCAAAGATTAATTAATATAGTTAGTTTTACCATTTAAAGAAAATGATAAAACTTTTATCACTTTTATATAGTTATTATTTAAAATCTAAGTTGTAATTATTAATAATGTGAATATTTGATTTAATAGTATTATATATTTACATATAAAATTTTGGTAATAAATTATAATTTTAAAAATATATATTTATAAGCGTGTAATGTATAAAATAATTACCATGGTATGCAACATTGTACATTGTTTTTAGAAATCATGGAGTCAGATTATGATGAAGATCGTGGAGCTTGGACAGAAGAAATGACAAGAACTGAAGATTGTGGAGGTGAAGATAGTTTTGATAATCCTCAAGAGATATTAAATGAATGCTTAGATAAATTTAAAACACCAGATTATATCATGGAGCCTGGTATCTTTGCACAACTTAAAAGGTATAGCATATTTTATGAGTAAAACAATTTATTAAGTGGTTAATTTATGTAATTGCATGTTATATTGAATTTTGGTGTATACATACAATTAATGCTACAACTTTTAAAACTAAACAAAAATTGTTCATATAAATGTCATTTGATCGAATGTTCAGAATTTAATAAAATACCTTAATCTTTTCTGAAGTTAATGTTTTAATATAAAGATAATGTGTTAACAAGACATATGAAATGTATATTTTAACGATTTATGAAACATTTTTTATTTAAGATATTGAAATTATAAAATTGGATTGCATCAAGTGTTTTCATTTATTGACATATATGGAAATTGTTAAGATTATCATATACAAAAAAAATATATTTAAACATAACATGACATTTAAAAGTACATTAAAAGTAATATTTGTAAAAATATCTAATAAATCTCAAATGATTTAGATATTTTATAAAGTCTTTTTTATCAGATCAAACAACATTCTTCTATCTATCCCCTATTCTTTTTTAAATTGTTGTTTAAATGATATAGATATTGATAATTTTCATATACTTCTTCTATAATTAGATTATTAAATATAGAAATATAGTATGATAAATAAATATAAAGTTTGTATTTATGAAACTATTAACCATTGAAGAAATTCAAATGTGAAAAAAGAAAAAAAAATATATATGTATATATACATTATATATTATTATTTTTTATTTTATAGATATTTTCAAGCTGGTGGAAATCCAGAACAAGTAATAGAATTGTTATCTAAAAATTATACAGCTTGCGCTCAAATGGCAAATCTTCTGGCAGAATGGCTTATTCTTGCTGGAGTTAAACTTACAGATGTACAAGCAATGGTGGAAAACAACTTAAAGGATATGATATTGAAAACATTTGATCCCAAAAAAGCAGATAAAATCTTTACAGAGGAGGGTGAAGTATGTTTTTAAAACTTCAATTGTTAAAATTGAAGAATTAAAGATTAAAACATAGATGATGTTTAAAATTCAATACTTTTTGTATTAGACTCCTGCTTGGCTAACAGAAATGATACAGCATCCCACTTGGAGATCACTGATTTACAGACTTGCAGAAGAATATCCTGATTGTTTGATGCTAAACTTTACTATAAAGGTAGAAACAGATTTCAATCTTATAATATGAATTTTCCACAAAATATTTGGTACAATTTTACTATATATCCTTTCGATTGTATAGAAAAGTCACTAATTACCTAAAAGTGTGTATGATACAAATGGTTTTGATACTAATTATTGAATTATAATTTTGATTCTCATTATATCATTAATAAATATTAGAATAAATATCATTTATATAAATAAATAAAAAAAATTAATAGTTATATTTATATGTATATATATATTTTTGAAAATGCCAATAAAAAATTTTGTTGTAGTTGACAATTATTTTATTTTTTAATTGTAGTATAAATAATATTTTTTTATTTTTGTGTTATTGTTTATGTATGTGTTCCATAGTTTTATTAAAAATTTTATATTAGTTATTTTTGTATACTCATAAACAAAAAAAATATGAGTAAGCTACTTTTAAAACTTTTATGCCTATTTAGAATCATTATTGACATAAATTAAATTAATTCACTTAATGAAAATAAAAAATGATTTAAATATCATTTAAATTCATTTTCATTTGTGGAACCAATAATACTAAGTCAATTTTTAAGATTCTGTACTTACATATTACGAACTGCCATATTTTAAGTTCTATCATTTGTTATCATATTAAAAAATGATTTTTTGTAATAAATTTGTTTTATGTCCTTACATATATTTTGTAGATATTTAATATACATTATAAAAGTTTTGCTTTTATATTTTTTGTTTCTTTTCTATTTTTGACAGCTTATATCTGATGCTGGATTTCAAGGTGAAATTACAAGTATTTCAACAGCTGCACAACAAATTGAGGTATTTTCACGAGTTTTAAAAACTGCAATAGCTGGATTTTTACAAAATACAGAAGATTGGCAGTCAAGTATACAAGAATGTGCGGTATGTGCTATTATTTTTATTCTATATTGTGAATTAATTTTTAGGTTGAACCATATATATTACATCTATATTAATTTACTAATGCAAATCTTTTGAAAGTAGCAAAAAAGGCACAAAAATTTGAGAAAAGTATCATAACATACAGAGAGATACTTTTTATATGAATTTGTTAAAATTACGTATTGCAAACATGCATTTTCTTGTTTGATATAAAGTATATATTTCTATTTTTATAGAATAACAGGAAATAATATAATTAATTTAACTGTTTCATTTTATATTTGATTTCTTTAAGAAATGTATAAAGTATAAAGTAATGAAAAAGGAAAAACTTAATTTTTTTTTGCTTTCATTTAACAAATGTTTGTCTGCATAGTATAATAGCACTTTTTATTTTCTCTTAAAAGTATTTTTTTTTGTATTTATCACAGTTTATGAAATATGTGTATTAATACGTTAAAATGAGATAATTTGTGCATGAGAAGCAAGATCAGTAGTTTTTGATTTAAAAGTTTTTTTGTCTTGGAAATTGTTTCAATTTATAAAAAAAATATTTGTAATCTATAAAAATTAAAAAAATTTTTGTTATTAGAAAATGGTGTGTCATGGACAACATACTTATGTCTACAGTCAAGTGCTATTGCAAATTCTTGCACAAGAATCTCGTGGTGGATTTATGATGAAAAGACTTTCTCAAGAAATCACTAAATGCGCACAACAGAAGTAAGAAAAAGATTTTAATATTTTATGAAGTTTATACAGTCAGTTGTATTCGATTAACTCACGACTTAAAATCAATAACGCCTAACAAGGACCAAAATTGATAAATTTCTCTTTTAAAATTTGCTTGAATTCAAGCTAATTTTATTGCTTTCAATATAAAGGAAGATTAATTAAAAGAAATAATTTTACAGATATCAGTGAAAATTGCTGCTAAATAATGATTTGTCAACATATTATGTGAATAATTTTGTTTAGTATTTACATTATCTTAACCCTTTAACTACAAGAAACACTTGCATGTACACACACGCACACACCCACGTGATAACGAAAGCAAAATAAAAGCGAGGGTAAATCACTCAAAAAATATAACCAGTGATAGTAATGGAAATAAAAAAATACCTATTTTGCTGAGAATTGCAACTTTATTGCAAAAATAGTATAATTACGTGTTGTTTACAAACTTAGGATTATGTAAAATGTTTTGCAGTTTAAGAATAATTTGCTGTTCAACTAGAAAAAAAAGTAGGTTTTGAGAAGTAATTACCAAAACATGCTTATTTATAAATTTGAAAAGTTTTTGATTCTGTTAAAAAGTTAATACAACAAAAATTTATTTTAAAATTACTTATCGTTATATGGTAAAATTTTAGATACTAATTTATACTTGATAAAATGTACAATTTTTTTCATATAATAGCATAATCAATCAAAATAATTTTATTATTTGACAATATTAAAAAACGATTGAAAAAGAAATTATATCATACAAGTAAGATATTTCTTTTAATAGAGTTACATATTTTTACTTACATTATATAAATAAATTCATATGATTGTGATATGGAAATTTAGCTTCACATGAATTTATATGAAGAATTTATATAAAGAAAATTTGGTTATTATTATTATTTTTATTATATATGGAGGTCAGTAATTATTCAATGATGGAAGTAGTGGGTAATTATTTAGTACAATAATTAAATACTGTGTAGTTATGTATGTATTCAACAAATTTTCAGTCAATTTTTTTTTTAAGACAAAACATTGGGTGGCAGAATGTTACATTAGATTCTTTATGTGTTACTTTTAGACCTAGTACAATGAAAAATTTATGTAATATATGTTTATATAGGTTTTAAAAAATTTAAAACACATTTATTTAGCTAGAAGATAATGAGAAAATTATAAAAGATATAATCCAAAGTTATATTAAGTTATAAAAGTTAAGTTAAGAACATCATAAAAAACTTACTTAATCAATGAATTTTATTGTTATCTTTTCAAATAATGATCCATTAGATCAATAATCATTTACAGAAATAGTTAAGTTCGTTATATATTAATGATAAAAGATAACGCTAAAATTTATACATTCTTTGAGTCCTAAAAGCGACGATATTTCAAAGTTCAAATGCATTTTTTATAACTTCTCATTGCCTTTCAAGTAAATATTTATATATTCTGAATTTTTTATTTATAGAAACATACATTATACAAATTTTGTATTGGCAACTAGATTTGAAATTGGCTTTCTTTAAATCATCCTCTTTTGGATTTATTAAGATAATATTATTTCATATGTACTAATAAATGTTGTATAATAATAACTCAAAAGAAACAAATAATGTTAAACAATATGTTGTTTGTAAAAAATAAATTAATTAGTACTTTAATATATCCCGATGACTGATTAGTGTAAATTATATCATATACTATAAATAGATTTTTGTAATTTGACGTAGCTAAAGGGTTAATGAGGTCCTTTTTTTAGTAATTTGTTGAGTTGTTTCTGATAAAAACGGATTGAAATATGACCTTAATTAGGGTATTTTAAATAGTATGTTTAATGCCTTAAAAATTATACAAATATGTAGTCAACTAAAATACAAACTTTGATCAAACAAAAGAATGGTGTGCATTTAAATAGAAAACTTATTTATCTTTTTTAAATCAATTATTTTTTGGTCATATTTTCAAAATTTCTTGTTTATATGAGTGAGACTGTTCTAGATTAAAGTGTTAGTAAGTATATTTCATTTATATATTTATTGTTCCATGAAATGCTTTTTATTCATTTCACATATGTTTTATTATTTCTATAAAACTAATCCCATAATGATTGAAGTGATATTTAATGTATACTTTCAAAAGGAGAATATGTTTCTTTCAAATTAGAAAAGCTTTCATTCTTTTGTATGAATAAGATAATAAGATTTTTTATACCTCACTCTATATGTAGTTTATATTTGAGTACAACATTGTAAAAAGCTAATTGTATCTTTTTTATTTTATGAAGTTTCATTTAATATTTTAGAAACATATTCTAAAATAATAAGACTTAAGAAAAAAAACAGAATGAAAAGAAATGAAATTTTTTTTACCTATCATACTACTAATTTTAAATATATATAGGTGCCCAATTATATGAATGAAAGAAAAAAAATTTCTTTTTCAAAATACCATAAAGAAATCAAATGCAATTAATTTTCAAATAAATTTTATAAATAAAAATTTTTTTTTGTAAAAAAAATTGTTTTCTATTAACATCTGTTATTTTTATATTTACTTTATAGATTCTAAAATCATTGTACTGATTAAGTATGTTATTGTTTAGGTCGTATTTGAACTCACTTTTATCAAGAACAACTCGCCAATTCATTAGAAAAAACCTCCCACTGAAAATTGTAGGTAATTTGTCATCTGCTTGTTTCGTGCATTGGGAACGTCACTCAAGTTGAATTGTGAGAATAATTTTAATTTTATTAACGCGAAGTTTTAATTAATTTGGTTTAATATATACAATCTTGCCATGTACAAATTTTATAACTTGTCTATATATATTTATAGCCATCATGACGTTACTCCAATAACAATGGCACTTAATGGAGCTTCAAGTAGTCCTGGAGCATGCCAAGCACTGGCATCTATGTTATCACGAAATACTTTAAATCCTGCTGATATTAGTGTATTGTTTCGAAATTATTCCACTGCAGAACCACCTCCTATAGAGTTACTTCGTAATCCACAGTTTTTAGGTATTACTATACATAATTTATAAAACTGCAATTATTTATTTTTAAAATTGTGAAAACACGTACAAAATTAAAACTCATTAATTTCAGAATTATTGGTTGATGCGCTGTTCAAACCAGGTGTAAAGATTAATCCCGAACATAAATCTAAATACATATATTTATTAGCTTATGCAGCCAGTGTATGTGATATTCCAGCCAAAAAAGGGCATTCAAGGAAGTTAAATAAAGATGAACTAAAAACAACTATACAAGCTATAGAAAAAGTTCACAATATTTGTAACATTAATAAGGGATCTACTGAATTGATAGCTGAACTACAAACCTTATATCAATGTATAAGGTATGTTTTATATAAATTATATTGATATTCACATATTATTTTTGTGTATTGTTAAATATGTGACTGAATCCTCTCTTTTCAGATTTCCTGTTGTAAGTGTAGGTATAATTAGATGGGTAGAATGTACTGTAACAGAATCATCATATTTTAAACTATGTACAGAACATTGTCCTGTACATCTTGCATTACTTGATGAAGTTGTAGTTTGCCATTCTTTATTGCATCCAAAAATATTGCAACTTCTTGTGCATTTATTTGAAAGTAAACAAGATGAATTGGAAATACTTGTGCAGGTAAGATACTTTGAATATAGCAAAAGAAAATATAAAATTTATTAAAAATTAAAATTTTTATTTAAATTTTCAATAATAATTATATGCATTGCAAACATAAAAATACTAAATTAATCTCAATATATAATCAAAATTGTTTTGAACATATTTAAAAAACTTTCATAATTTAAACAAAAAAAATATTTCTTTTATATCTGAATTTTAAACATTTATTTAATTATTTTTGTAAATTTTTAGAAATACAATTCATATTTAATATGTGCAAAGTTGGATCTTCTATATCAAATTATTCTTTTCTTTTTTTTAAATAGTGTTTTCATGTGTAATTCATTAAATGTTGAAATTGTTCTTAGTTAATCTGAGAAGTTCAATGTTTGGTATAATTAGAGTATATAATTGATTTAACATATTTCAATCAAACATTTGTTTCAGTAGATTTGATGTTTGCAACGGCAAAATTATTAACCTTTTACAATCTTTATTTTACAAATAAATAAATAAAAAATCTATAATATTTTTATATTAAAATTTACGAGTGTAAATTACCAGTATGAATTACCAAATTATCACGCTTTGTCTTCTTCCTCAAATCCATCAGCAAAATAAAGTTAGGCAGTTATAAAATTTTTGTCTTATAGTAGGGATAATTAATCACTACTTCGATCATTCATAATCTTGTTTTCGCATACATTAATAGGTGATATTTAACATTTATGAAGAAAAGTACAATTGTTAAAAAAGATTCATATTTGGACTTTATAATAAATAAAAGTGTTTAATATTTATTATACATATAGAAAAGTGTTAGAATATATAAACATACTTGCCTCAAGATTATTTACTTTAAAGTGAATCTCATATTTGTTATTATAATATAAGCTCTTTTCTCATCAACAATAATTTCTTTCCAATAACTAGATTTGAAGATTGTTTCTTGCATATCTAAAAATAAACATAATAATCATTTCATTCGTTATTATATTACTTACAGTTTTATGACTGCTATGTAGTCTAAAATTGAAAGTATAAAAGTGTATACATAAAAAGTTGATTGTGAATTTAATTGAAAAACACATTTAATAACTGAATTATAAGTTTAATAATTCATATTATTTTTATACTGTTGTTAAATTGCAGTAGAAATCAGAAGATAACCGGATGTAAAAGTACTGATTTTCTACATGCAAAGCACAATTATTGAAAACATTTTTATCAAAAAGAAGTAATGTTTAAGAAACAAACTACTAAAAAATGTGTTTCTGTTTGTGATACAGAGTGAATTTTTAGAAAACTAAATAAAAAAATATTTTTAAATATATATTTAGAAAAGCCTTTATCTGGTAAGATGCATATGGCTGTTATTTAAAATAATAAATATTTTAATACATTATTAAATGAATGGGAATATTTAAATATTCTCAAAACTTTGTAATACATAAAATAAGCCATTTTTTTATTTACTAAAGAAACACTTTTTATTGAATGGACATAAAAATTTGTAGTATAAATTTGAAATCATTGAAAAATCTTTAGAATAAAGAAACACTATAGTTTTTATTAAAAAAAATGTATTCGAATTTTTCTTTTTACATAAACATTTCATATTTTTCTTATTCTAATTATATTTCAATTATTTTGCTTGCAGCAGTATAACATGTCATAATTTAAAATGTCGCTCCATGAGTAACAATTTGTTTTCACTAATTCAATCATACAAGAAACCTTTTTAATATGAATGATGGTCATCATAATGAACTGGTTAAATAATGCAACAGCTGTTATTGACATCACTAAAAATTATAATAATATAAATATTCATATTTACTTTATAATGGCTATTTTTTATAATAACCTTGTAATATTAAATAACAAATTATAAATCTATAATTATCAATAATATAAATAAACAAATAAAATTAAATGTACAGTAATATAATAATTATTAATTAGTAGGATTAATTAATATTTTATTAAAATACACATAGTATTTTGTTATTTTTCTACCTAATTCATTCCAAATATATTCATTCTAAGATTCAAATATTGATACTGTGAAATATTAGTAGATAATATAAGCAATATGCATTGGCTCATTGTATCAGAAATAATAATTTTTTCAAAGATTTAATTCTTTTACACTTTCTAAAATACATTTTAATATCACATCTTACAAAAAGATTAAGTATTTTGTTTATTATTACATTAATTTATTCATTTTATCTAGATATATTAGTTATCATAAATAAATTCATAATTTATTATACAATGAGCCTGTAGTTAATATTATGATCTACAGATAAAAATCATAAAACACTATATGTTATTTTTTATTTTGAAATTAATAACGGCTAATTATGTATTTTTTTTTAATATACAGTTGGAGATGAAAAAAATGTTAATTGATAGAATGGTGAACTTGTTAAGTAGAGGTTGTGTGGTACCTGTAGTGTGTTACATCAAACAGTGTTGGCAACGCGGGGATACAGATGTATCTTTAATTCGATATTTTGTTACAGAGGTAATGTAAAATTAATCTTTTCATTAATATATATAGATATAATATATTTAACAATATATATTAGGTTTTAGAAGCAATAGCTCCACCATATACAGCCGAATTTATTCATTTATTTCTCCCTATGGTTGAAGATGAAGAAATTACGGGTACAATGCGTGGTGATAGTGACAATGATCTTGTTTCAGAATTTATAGGTGAGTTTATAAAATATGTTACACATATATATTTGATGTTTAACACGTATATTTTTTCAGTACATTGTAAAGCACATTGTCCTACTATAAGATGATCTCTTAAAAGGAGGGTGAATTAAATTAAAGAAAAATTGATAATACTATGAAATATTTTTACTTCATATGAGAATGTTAAATTACTATACATAAACTACTATTTTATTAGATCTCTTTATTGTTTCATATACAGTATGCAAAAATGTGCATATATATATTTGAAGAGTAGGATGATTTCTCCATCAATCTGTGATATCATAATTTATGACTTTTCTGCAACAAAAATAACAAAATGTAATTTTTGTAGATTATCAAATTTTCTTAATAAATAAATATAAATAAATAAGTTCAATTTCTGTACATATATATGTATATTTTTTTTAGAATGTTAAATATCCCACAATAAAATTGTAACACATGTGATATGTGAAACAACAATAATGCATTTTTTTAATATAAAAAAAAAATCATTTTATCACACTTTAGCACACAACACTATTAGTATTTGTTTAAGTATAATATACAAAGTATGTATTAGTAATAGTAAGGACCAAAAACGAGTGATTCTATATAAAAATGTAAAATGAAAATATTCAATAATATTTTTTCATAGCAAATATCTCTTTAAATAAAATAAAAAAATAGTTATTTGTATTAGTTTGATGTGTGTAATACTGTATTGAACACAGTGAGGAAAACTATTGAAACTACTTGTATATTCTATCCAACTAGCCAGAGAGAAAGAATATGTTCACTTTAACAAGATTATTATATTATAATTCAGCCATTCTGTCTGTTGTTGCCAAACCAAATATATGTTATCATATTATATTATAAATTTTTAGATATTGTAATATTTGATATACTAATATTTCTTTTTTTTTTTCTCAACACTCATTTATTCAAAATTGAAATTTTGTATGAAAAAAGATTACTATATATTTTTCTTTTATTTCTTCATATAGAATCAAATCTTTCAAATTTGTATCACTAGTTTGGTTATATATTATATATAAACTTTATACACTCAATATTATGTTAGTTGTAAGTTATCAAATAGCAATTAAGAAATCCACACTTGCTATTATATTTTACACATCAATAATATTTGTATCGACAAATAATAGTCGTGCATTCATATAAAACCATTTCACATTATAAAAGATCTAACTATAACACTTACATATAATTGTAAATTTATAAATGCTTATTATTATTTTTCAGCTGCAATAAAAATTATTACTGTAAGTAACATGTCTAATTTGATATATTATGATATACACAATACAGTTATATTTAATATCGTTAGTATTTGTATAGAAAATCTTCGAAAATAACCTAAACGAAAAAAAACATCGTTTTACTAACTTAGTTTCGACTGATAAAACAAATACGAGAATTCGTACACGAAATAAGCAGGAA